GTAATAGGAATCTATGTATAATAACAAATTCAACATGCTAGCATTCTTTAAGTATATAGCCTATACATCCTTAATCACGATCGTCGTAATACGATAACTAAAGTTGCGGTTTGTTTCCCTCAGTTTTATTAAGTTTCCATGATTTCTCTATCTTGTTAGGAAACTTCCTTGGAAACATTCTCTCCCTTCCTAGAATTATCATTTAAAATTTATTCTTCCGGTTCTCCTTAATTTTCCCACGAACTCTTTTTTTAGAATTATTTTTCTGCAACGTTATTACTTTTTTCATGACAGCATTTATAGAGTTGGTTTACTCAGTTTTATACCTTTGTTAAAGAAAACAACTTTCGTATCCGCTCTCACCTTGTTTGCTACGGTACAGTATTGAGAAAGATGTATGAAAAATTAAGATGCACGTAATGGATTATTATACTAGCATCGCTGTATCGTACTTTAGTACTTCATTGACCAGATCCGTTCGACTTTTACGACCATTCTGATAGGAACCAGTTCCAAATCCTCGAAAAGACGAGGTCATTGAAGGAAAAGTGTTTTTAAAGATTGATTTAGTATCACCGATAGGTCCGTGTTCTTCTAGTGCGAGACAAAATAAACGTTTATAGAAACGATACTCGAATTAGTCAATTCAAAGTCTATTAGTAAATTCTATTAGCTAGCAATTGACTCATACAAAACTATGTGGACTTAATTGGTTCTCAGAAATACTTTTTGTCTATTTATTTATTTAAATAAATAAAAAACAATAAAAGAAAAATGATTTTATTTAATTCATTGTCATTACGAGCTGGTCTTTTCGATATCTAGGGACCAGCTGGCTCGTTTCTGGCCTTGCTGTCGGAAGCCTCGTAGGTAGTTGTTAGCCGGTGGTGCTTACGTTCCCCCATGCGCTTCACTCTTACCCGCTTCTCTGCTCTGTCTGAAAAATAAGAATAGCTCTCCTCTCCCTTTGAACCGGCAGTAACCAACGAAAATTTGCCGACAACGCCAGTTTCGACCGTTCTTCGGCGAAGATAACACGCGTCTCTCTTGGTACTAATTCGTTTTGTTTTTTTTACAATATCTCATCACGTAATAGACTTCAATTTATTGTACAATAGTTTAGTTGTGATTTTTAAGATTGGGATCATTTTCTATCTAAATGAAGTTAACTAGATTCGAAAATTGTAAAAATACTCTGAAAAAGGGAATGAAGAGACAAGTTAGAAATTCTGCGGAAATGTTTCTACGAGAGGAAGAACACTTTCTCTAGACGATGCGCTTTAGAAAAGTGATACGGATTTCCTAACGCGCGAATAGAACAACGTGCCGCGGTACAAGTTGCTCGGCTGTGTTGGGTCCCATCTCCTCCACGGGGTGTCGCTTTCCGTCCCCCCAGACAGAGGCCCCGGGCCCCGATAGGCGTAACACCGAGTTTCCCATTCACCGCGACGTGCTGCTGTGGAAAGGATCTGCGTGTGCATGCTCCCAGCGTTTTCGAGGAAAATCCTGTTTGATTTATCTTGTCAAACATTTACACAGCTACCGTGAACATAACAAAACTCTGATGGATCATCGATAGAGCGGTCGTATAATAAATACAGACATCGTAGAAACTGTTGAGAATCAATTACAAGACTGTGAGAACTTGAAAATTTCGTGAATACTCTGACTTCTCAAATCTGTGATAAAGTAATAATATAAAAAATGAAAAAGAATTCTGGGACGGTCGAGCCGTTACAAAAAATGAAAATGTGATTGCGATAGAGACAATTCATCGACAGTGAAATCGTGAGCGTAGTGATATAATAAAAGATATCAAAATGGTTTTCTTCGGAAGGAAGGAGAAGATAGAAGATCGCAGACTGTTGGACAGCATCGACGCTGTAAACGGGGACAAAATATATCAAATAGAAAATGGTAAATCAAAGTTTATTGGACAACACCGTTGAAAGAATTCGAGGAAGGAGAAATATTTAATCTCTTGCTTGTGCGAATCTGTTCTTTAAAGAACTTCACTGATCTGGCCGTGTCTAAATATTATTCTTCCGGATCTAATGCGCTCCTACTGGAATTCAGGATTTAATTTCCCAATTTAAATGATAAAAATAAGCTCGTTATTGTTTATAGATCATTAAATAAAGGAGGCAATAATTCTATATAATATAATCAAAGCTTTAATTGTTATTCATTATTACATGCATGATCAAACTGATTTTAAGACTCTTTTCCTCTAAACTAGTTGAGAAATAGATCGAGGCGTTCTGGAAATACGATACGCTGTACGTTCGTGTCGCGGTTCGACAATTCAATCTTGTCTACTGCTCGCATTTAACATGCAATCGTTCGGTTGACATTGATAAGTAATGTCATCGCTCACTTGTATTTCACCGGGACAGTTGCAAAGCTCCTCCTAAAACGTCTCCTACATTATTATTAAGCACAATGAAGACTCGATAAGTTATCAATAATATTCGTCATAATTATGAGATTTCATTTGAGAATCTAAAACAAAATATAAGGTCGAACGAAAGTGAGAAGGTAGAACAACGTACAGGCTGTGACTCTAATTAGTCTTAGCACTTGTGAGCTCAATAGCAATTCACACCAGCTAGAAACTGTTAGCAGCGGGACGATATTATCATCCTTGAGCTTGATCCAAATCGTACTTAAGCACGAATCTCTTTAGCACACGCTGTATAATATGATTGAATGACTATTTATTGGTTCCTACGATTATAATTATGTCGACGTTCTATTTTCTATATCTAATATAATCATCATTTATAAAAATAAACTACAGACTTTTACATAGTTTCGGGAAGTTATTATCCCGCCAAAAATTCTGTTTATACTGAATTGAATCTCTGTCTATTTAAATGTCGCGTGTTCGGCGTTTGGCCACCTGTGGCTGTACCAATATTGATCCACCGGATGGCCACACCCGGCACACCCTCGCGTCGCTCTTTTACACCCTCTCGTGTAAGTCGAGGCGCGTACTGGTACAGTGTCGTTGCCCTTCACGCGAGCACATTTCGATCACGAGCATACCTTGGCGTGGTTTTATGGAAAAGTGTCTGGTCACTGTTCCAGCTGCCTTTATGCATGTGCGGGACAACCTGGAGGAGCTGGGCAAAGTGGCCGACGACACAGACCTGCTGTTCCTCAAAGGTCTCTTGGACAGTCCCGTAGTTACGTCTCTAGTGAAGGTGAGTGTCGGTTCCTTGCCTTATGTGCGTTTTACGTCGTTGATCATTTACAATTTCCAACTATATTATTTGTTACGTCGAATTCATTATGTGTTTATTAATTCTCGGAGGAGACGATTTGTGAGAAAGTTCAAGTGGATGAATTACATAATTATTATAACGCAGTTTAATTAAAAGTTAATCAGTTAATGCAGGTTGAATGATTTATCTGTGAAGATGTAAATTTAATCATGGAAATTGTTTTATTAGTGACATTTATTTTTATAACTGACTTCGGGGATGTAAGATCATTTATAATCTGTTACCTCTGTGTCAAAATACAGTGTTTTTTCGAATCGATGTTAAACGCGATTAATTGCGACCATTGTTCACGCGTGTGTATTATTTTTGGCACCGGTGGAACAAACAATTGTCTGACCATCATTAGATCATGCGCGGCGCGAATGGACCTCGTTCGAGGCACATGCACGTGTGCCACGTGTTTACTATAGAAACCGATTTTACGAGAGAGAATTGCTCGTTCGCCGAGATCGACTTGAGTAAAATCCTTGTGCTAAAGGCAACCGTGACGGAACGCGAAACGTAACGCGGCCAACCATGAGACCCTTGCAGCTTCGGTAAAAATCCAACCGTGTCGTTGAACCTGTTTCTCACCCGCTTGAGACAAGTCTGCGATTGGTTTCCCAGCTCGTTCCTTAAAAATAGGAGAGATACCCGTGTGCAAAAGCGAGCTTGGTTTATGACTACTCATGTTTCGTTTCAGTCTTTTTTCAATATAATAAATTCATCTCTATAAATGATAGCTGTTTCTTAAATTACAATACAGTGTTTAAGATAGTTTGAAATGTTCAACTCAACAGCCCCTCGTTTCGAAAACGGATAGTTTGCTATAAAATATAACCCGTGGTGCAGGAATCCACGTTGGAATTCGAAAACGTTAGATCACGCGGTTGAAATTTTTCGAACCTTCTTGGAAAAAGCGCATTATTTTTTTTACACTCACTTACATCAACGCTTCGTAGAACGCCCACATTATATTTCGGTCGCGACATAGATTTCGGTTCGGCCTACGATGAAAATATTATTATCCACCGTGACGTGACGTACGCGTCACTCTTTCCTTTCGTCGTCACTCTCTTGCGTAACAATCACAGAAAACCTTGCAAACTACACACGAATTTCTGTATATATATTTTTCTTGGCACTTTCAGTTTCCTCTTCAGTCGTTCAACGATGCTTTCTGTTGTTAGATAAGCGTTTTATATTACGGTAGAAAAATTATGAGTGTTCATCGATTTCAGCATATTTTATCATATATTTACTACTTCTGTTCTGCTTTAATTGTACTTAGTAAAAAAAATCACTCATAAATTTACTGTGCGTGTATTTCGTTCGTTATAAATACATGAACAGTGGGTTTGTAGTATTGGAAACGAAGAGCTGTTCTAACACTTTTTAGCGATGATGTACAATCTCAGTGATCCTCAGAGATTTATGGGTTGTAATTTTAACGATTTTCGCGGAACTTTTGATAGGTGGATACCCGATATTTTATAGCGGATAAGATGTCCAAGTGTCTTACTTTGGAAGTGGTGCAACGCGTCATGGCACGCTTCTTCCTCGAGGATTCATGAGTTGTAAAAGAATGAGTATTTCGACTTGAGATCTCTAAAAATATTTTGAAAAAATGGTTTGGGCGTCGTCTCATCGTAAAGTCTCGATTGTGACCCAAAGCGGTTTCGACTTTATCTCATCCCGATCGACTGCACACAGTCGTGACTTTCTTGCGAGGAGTCAGTGTGTTCTGGGCACCTGCCAGACTCACATTCCATCGTTCTTCGAGGTCGAGCAGGTAGAAGCCCGGGCTGGGTGTCGAACAGTCGTTAAGAAGCCGGTGTTCGTTTCCGGTTTGACTCAACGCAACAATGGATATCGTTGACAGACGGGCGTTACTACGTTCCCGATGAAAACCATTGCAAACAACCGTGAAAAGCCTGAAAACTCGTTAGGCCAATGCTATTAAACTGGCAAAGGGAACGGTCCGAGAGAGCGTGAGAACTATCATCACCTTAATTAGAATCAATAGAAACACTTTCCCATTATTCGTGAATTATATAAAGAATTTTCACCGGAAAATAATATTTCCAATGTGAATACTTTCTCAAGTAGGAAATCTTGTAATTCATTTATCCTCGACAAAAAACGAACATACGAGTAAATGTAGATAATGAATTCTTAACTGATAGCAATATTTTCACTTGCTGATTCTATAGCTGTATTTGCTATGGATTTTTCGTCTGGCAATTTTCACGAGAATACGTCGACTTCTAAAACTAAAATTGCGAAGCACTTCTAGCAATTTCGTACTACGGAACATGCCATAAAATTTCTAACATCCGTCTTTGAAAACCACCCAGTGGACAATCCCTCAAGGAGCGGACACCGTGAATCCTTTTTGAGAACAAAAGCGCTTCCTGCGAGTGGAAGAGAGCAACTGTGTGTCAGACGGTCTCGCGTCAGCGCAACGACGCAGGAAGCCGCTAGACAGAATCGTGAATAATCCGCACTTATTAATCGTCAAATCGCACCGTCGTCTTGACCTCTCGAATGTAATTGGCCGCGACCCCAGCGATGATTCGGTCAATTGGACCGGGTCAGGTCGCGCCGAGTCATCGTAGTCGGTCTATCGCAGAAATCATGAGTATCTACGCGTCGCGTGCGCCCGCGTATACACGGTGTATATATGTATGTAATTTCAACCGGGTTTGTAATCAAGCGACGGTACGAGCGGAGTGAACGCGCGTGTGCGGCATCGACGCACGTGTAGGTGTCCAGGACTGTAGCAAACGACGTTAGGCGCCCATGGGTTTGATTACTTGTTGAAATGGTAATAAAGATTAGGAGCTTGTAAGATGAATTATCAGACTACGGACTTTCTTGCAAAATAAAATATTTAGGTAAGTATTCCTATTATCCATCGAAGTACGCATTTACCTTTTGACATTCCGAGCAGTTTTATAAATTACATACAATATTTCGAATTTATGCAAATTCAATTTTCTCAGAAATGCATCAGATTCGCAGTTTAATAATTACGTTGCATTTTGCAATTTCAGACGAGTTATAGTTATCTCATGTTTTTTAATCATCTCCTCTTTGCTATTGTGATTTTAACGTTTCATTGCGAAAATTGTAGTATTTTCTTCTATGCTCGTTGCACCGGCTCTAGCCAATATCGCACCGGCGATAGTAGGTTTTAATATCGGAGCTACACGATACCGTTGTATCGCGTAACGGATTATTGTGTATCTTGAGAAGGGTCTACCCGCGCGGTAAGATCGACAAACCAATCGGTGTCAATGACTGGCAACGCTTTTTGCCTCGACTGTTCTACTCACCGAGCTGCAAGTTGCATAATTCTATGGATATGTTTAATGAATTCCTATTATCGACGAAACTCCGAATCGCCGTATGCGTCAAAGGCTGAAACCGTTGCGAAGACGTCCAAGGACAAGAATTAAAATGAAAGTATAGAGTACTATAGTACGCGTACACCTTCGTACAAGAGCGGAGTACGCAATCGGAATGGTCGGGTAGTAAAAGACAGCCTCTACCACTTTCTAAGTGGATAGCTAGGATATTTAACATTCCAGGTAACAAGGCACGTTCGCGTTTACACATCGCGGCACCGCGTTCAAACCTTGTTATTTTCCTACGTTGAAAGAAGCGTCGGAAGTCCCGTCCACGATACCAGATAGATAATACCATCAACGTGTACTGAGGGAGCCGCGACATGACCTACTTGGCTTCCAGCTTTAAAATCTTGGATCTTCGGTGGTCTTGATAATTGTGTGCTAACAAGGCTACCGTAATATCATTGTACTACGTATCTGATGGAATTAATTCACCGTAAGAAGTTCATTGTATATAAAATGATCCCAAAGGATATGAGCGTCACTCGTAGATTACATCAAACGGATTTACATTCGATAAAAAACGAGTAATAAAATTGCAAATTAGTATCGAACGATTATCCTAAAGCTTCTATAAACGAGCCGCGCCTGAAGTCGTGGTCGATTTCTAAAGAACCAAGTTATCTACGAAAACGGGATAAAATGGGTCTGAAACGAACGGGTGTGTATCCGGCCCTGAGCAGAACGTAGCGGAGTGTTGCATGCCATCCGAAGAAGGGCCCCCACCTGTTTCAGGCGAGCATGGGCAGCCTGAACGAGGCTGTGCGATCAAGGTGGGGGCGAAAGAAACGTCAGTAGGCGCGGCAGTTTTCTGACGCCGCTTACCAAAGCAACACCGTGTGTGCGTGCCGTCCACGGCGTCGAGTCAGGGTACCTCTTTTTTTTTTTTCATTCCTTCGACCCCGTGGAAGCCCTTCTTCGGGCTCGCCACTGGCCGCTTACCCCCGTGAGTTTTATTCCCGGGTGAGTGCACCCTCGAACGGATCGATACGGCGAACTCAAGCTCCAGGACGGTGGCCAGCGCGTTCTCCAGAGAAACGGCGTCCTAGCTTCTCTCCGAGAGACGCGCGACCTCTACGTTTTACCAATTGTTAAGTGTAAGTCGGTTTCTGTGCGAAAAATCATCGTCGAGATTCATCCGGAGTTTGGTAAAAGGACGGCAGTGCGTCGAGGGTGAACACCCAGGTGAATTGATCGCGTGGGTAGTCGTAGAAGAGAACTGTTGCCGACGAGCGACACGTGATATCGAGAGAAAGCGCGATTTGTTGACCGTAAGCCCCTCGCGTTTCTCGCGTCTCCGATCAGTGGATTTGTGGTCGAAGCAAGCCGTTCCTCGGCATCTGGACTGCAAGTAAAATATACTGGTCGGACCCGTGTCTGGATCTACTTCGGTCGGTCGAGTGCATTTCGCGCGGCTGCTAGAAGATGTGGAGCAATTTATAATTACGAGACTCTATTGATTTTCTGACGATAAACATGAATGAATATTTAGTATTGTTGAAAGAAAATCACCACCTGTTGAACAACGAGTCGAGGCTTTGATTTATGCGTCACGCTTTATAATTAGAGTCCCAATAGAAGCAGATACGTAATGACTTTATTGATTTTTCCGCGTCGATGCGGCACAGGGATATAAAAAATTGATAATTTAGTCACGGACGATGACTTTCGGTATGAAAAAATGCAATGACGAAACGTTACATGTTAAGCACGTAACCAGCGAATCGCTGTTTGCTCTTGAAGCGCGACGATCTTCGTGAGAGTATTTTCAGGGACGTCATGGTAGGACAGGGGAATTCATTACAGGTTGCAGTGTACGTTGAACGCCAGCTGCTTTGTACTCATTACCATGACAAATGGCATAATTTGTGAACGCTACAATAACGATCTTGCGACATATGGAGAAATACCTAAGCCCCGGTTCTTTTGTCTGATAACTCGTAGTCAGCTAATTAGTCTCTGTTTTCCCAGTTCATCGTTAAAAAAATACAATTTCGGTCGATTCAATTTCTTGATTCCTTTCATTTCTCGTACCTCACAAGGTTTTCTAAATACTCCAAATTTTATTTGCATTCGTTTCTCGTAAGTCACGGTGCTGTGTTTTTAGAGGTTCGCAGGAAAACACGTGTTCTTTGATGTTTCCCGTCACTAAGCTGATTTATATACCATACGTAAGTTGCATGCGCAAATGGCCAGATCGATGACTGGATCGTTTTTAATTCTCGTTTTGCATGATTCCTTTAATCGTTGCTGCAGTGAATATCGTGGAAATCGCGTGTATATCGACGCGAATGATTCGATGATGAATCATCCTGAGCGGAGTGTGAAGCAATTTCCATAGGGAACGGACTCAGACTTTCGCAACGCAGACGGTAGTAATTATTCATCCGTATCGCATTTTTAATTAATTATTGTAATAGTTGTTTATGAATGAACTTAGGTTCGATTTTCCACGAGCTAAATATTCCGTACGTAGATAGAATTTATTTGCTTTGAAAGCAAACGCGCGCGATGCACTATTATTAGGTGATTACGCGTGTGAAAATATTATTTTTCTTCTACTATTTGTCTGTGTAATAATAATTAAAAAATTATCAATTTCATGTGTAACTTCGTTTAAAAAGGAAATATGCGGAGAGGTGTTCGAACGAACGCGTACGTAGCACGCCGTTCAGGTATCAAGCATTCTCGAAGGTGACTCGGAAACGCTGAGAATGACCCACTTTCGTAATTACTCCTTCATTGTTGTAACGCTGCATTGGCTCGGAGTACACACTGGGGGGCTTACGTGGTCGACACTAATCGAATCAAACCTCATTGACGCCGGTCATCGTTGCACAATAAGAATTTCACACTCCTAGGTGACAAATCCACAAAATTTCCATCTTTATTACAATTCAAGAAAATGATAAAAAGAGCATAGCTCCAATAAAGAATTTATAAGGAAAGATATAACTTATTGTCTAAGAAACTGATAATCAAAATATATTTTCGAGAATTCAACGATGTACAGATTTCTCTTGGATCGTACAAGAGGCGAAGGCACACTGAATTTAATACGGAAACCCGTTTCGACTTTCACAACTGGCAACGGCTAAACTGTTCACTGTGGCTTCGACCATACGTGAATACGTAATCTAAAACGGAGTTTATAAGCAGCTTGACGATCCTAATTCCTGAATTTGCTTTGTTTAATCTGTTCAAATACCTTCACTGTCTGGTATATCAAGCAGAAAGTACTGACTCTTTAGTCAAACCGTTCGTTATATTCTAAAGCACGTTTAGAGGGGATTCTAACCCGAATCGGGGGATTTAAAAAGTCGCCCGGCGGGACGCAAACCAGTTTCTCGGTATCGAAACGGTCGTGACTGTTACAGGTCCAGGAGCGTCTGGAGGATCCACCGCTCCACGTGGAACCGGTATGCTTGTCCGTCTGTGATATCGTCGACGAGGTTTGCCACGCGCTCCGCTCCTCGAGGGACGAGAACGCGCGCGAGCTTGTGCGATTGCTGAGAAGCTCGCATTTGAAAGCGCTTCTTGAGACGCACGACGCGGTCGTCGAACGGAAGGAATCGCCACCGAAGCCGGAGCAACCGCCGCCGACTATGCCCACCAACGAGAGGACGGAGGCTGTCAGAATGGTTGGCCTCAGGAGGCAACCTAACGAACCCTTAGTAAGCCTTTCTATGTTGGATGATTTACTTAAAGTTTTAGTAAAACAATAAAAAAATGTCAATTATATTGCATGGATAACTTTTTAACGAACTGGGAATTATCCTCAAACAATTGCAGCCACCGCTTAATTAATTTATTATTGATATTGGAATTGGTCGGTCGTTGAAGATCAGAATGGTGTTTTAAAAACGGAGAACGTGGGAGGATGTTTAATCTCGTTTGTCGGTTCGTTTCGTAGACGATGAAAGTGGAGTCACGTAGAGAGCAATCAACAATGGAATAACCGACGACTTTCTCAATCGTGTATCTGTACATATAGTTTTAGTAGTTTACTATTCCGTTACGTGAGAGAATTCCGATTCTGAAACGTTTGCGCGAGAAGAGACGAAAATGGCTCTCGCGGTTCATAAATAATTCGGAACGTTTATTATCCGCGAGATGTTCATTGGCCACGTGGCCTCTTCGCAAGAATCTTGCCTTCGAATTCTCTAGGATTACATACTAAACAAACTGAATACCGCTCCGAATCAATTTTATCAAAAATGTTTTGAAATTAAAAATGTAAAATTATCAGGGATTCCACTGTCAAGAACTATTCCAACATCTACGATATTCTTCATTTGAGACGAAATTTTGTTCTCCAAATAAGAGAGAGAAATTCTTGTAATTTTGAACATCTTTTAGTGGGCGTCTAGTTTATCTCAAACAAAAATAGTCAATCTTCACAAACGACCCATACAACGAGAACGAATCTACAAGTATAAAGATGTCTAGCCTTGACAAGAATCAATTGTTCCTCGAGTGCGTTCATAGCGGATTCACCTCGACGGAGGTATTTATTTTCGTCCATTTTCGCGCGCAGGGTTTGACGGTGCAAGTCGACGAATCTGGCAACTTAATTATCGCCAGGATCCTGGGAGGAAGTACAGCTGCGAAGCAAGGACTTCTGAGGACAGGCGAAGTGATCCTCGAGGTGAACGGAAAGGATGTGCATAACCCGGAGGAACTTCAGGAAGCCATTCACGACGCGAAGGAGAATTTGACGCTGAAATTGGCACCTGGAATTGCGAACGATGCCAATCGACCTGTGAAATCCACGGTGAGTCGTTTATTAAAATCATGATTACGATATTCGACGGTTACTCAACGAAACCCGATCTGTAGGAATTTACTAATTTGCTGATAAAAGTCTGTTCTACTTATGTGGTACATAGCATGAATCAATAAAGGTATTTATGTAAAATAAAAGATTCTCCTCTGATTTCATTAAAAGATATTTTATACAAATTTTGCATATGATCGAATTCATTGAATTAGCATATTCTTATAGTTCAATAAATCTATTCAAGACTTTTTAATAAGATCCGTGAACGTTACGTTATTTCGACAATTTTTATTGACTCACCCAGTATACAATTCAGTGGAAGCAGTAATTCTAATAGTACATTGTGTTCGCTCACGCGTATAAATAAATGATAATACGAAACGAGAACAAGAAACACTTGCAACTAGTCTACAACATTTATGCACCCTTGAGTACCAGATGAAAATAAATTATCAAATCGTACAAAAACTTAACTTGGCAATGAGTTTAATGCGAGAGTTGTGTTTTCTCGCAGTGTTAGTTGAGAGCGCTATTCGATTACGATCCGTCGGAGGACACGCTGTTACCCTGCAGGGAAATCGGACTTCCGTTTCAAAAGGGTGACGTGCTGCAAATCGTGGACCAGGCGGACCCGAACTGGTGGCAAGCAAGGCGAGTAGAGGGCGAAGGCCTAGGCTCGCCCGGGCTAATCCCGTCGTTAGAGCTCGAAGAGCGACGGAAAGCGTTCGTTCCGCCGGAAGCGGACTTCGTACATAAAATAAGTATCTGTGGGACCAAGATCTCCAAGAAGAAGAAGAGGAAAATGTACCAATCGAAGTCGAACGGTGAATTCGACAGCGCGGAGTTGCTGTTATACGAGGAAGTGGCAAGGATGCCGCCGTTCAGGCGTAAAACCTTGGCTTTGGTCGGCCCGAGGGGCGTCGGTCGAAGGACTTTGAAAAACAGACTGATCAACAGCGACCCTGAGAAATTCGGCACCATTGTCCCGTGTAAGTATTAACATTTTTCTGTACCGTGAGATCTCGTGTAGAAGACTGTTTAACTCAATGGAAAAATATTTATATCATACAACTTCTTAGACTTTTACGTTTTACGTATTTGCTTCGCGATCATTGTTAAAGAAGCTACCAGTACCAATGATATTTTGATTCAGTTACTTCAAGGTCGCCCAGAGTGCTCGAGGAGGATGGCAAGAGTTACTGGTTTACCGATCGCGAGTCGATGGAAACGGACATCAGAGAACATCGATATCTAGAATACGGAGAACACAGTGGCCATTTATATGGCACTAAACTGGATTCCGTGCGAGAACTGATCAGGGCCGGAAAAATGTGCGTTTTGGACTGCAGTCCGGCTGCCTTGAAGATACTTCACAACAGCACGGAATTCATGCCCTACGTCATTTTCATAGCGGCACCCGGGATGGAGCAATTGAAATGGCTGTACGATTTGGCAAGATCGACTGGAACGAGCAATCGCAACTTGACGGTAACTACAAGACCCATTACTCTGTTTTTTCATTACTTAAAGTACAAAAGTTCGTTTTCGATATGAGCAATGATAGTTAGTAATTTTGAGAATGCGTATTGACATTTTTACGTAATGAGCGTTTTATTTGTATCATTGATTAATTTTAATCACCGGTAGTCGATGCATCTTCTCCATCGTATACATCCGTTTCTGCGAAAATCGTGTTTGAGTAAAAGGTTTCTGCGAACGTTTTCGAATTTCTCGTAGTCGAAACAAGATAACATGAAATTCGATTGGGACGAAACGAATCGAGGCGCGAAATTTGTGTAAAGAAGAAACATATACCAACGGCACAGGCCGCGATTCAAACAAACATAGCTATCAAATCTTTTACGATACAGCTTTCTGAACCCCTGCCTGCCAGTCTGTTTGCGGACGTCGTGTAAATGCGTAATATTTTGCCTAATGTAAATGTATCGCATGCTCTCTCGCTCGATTACGACAATCCGACGATTTTCAAATATTATACCTCCCATACATACGTTCAGAGAATATTTATACATATTGCCCTACCAAATGTTATTCCATCTCCCCGATTTATGTAGAGCGTTCTTTGTTTAATCTTTCGTATGTATTTGATGTTGGCTTCTGTTAGTTTGACCGCCAGAGTTCCATCAGGTACAGCTCGAGAAGAGCCAGAACGCTGGAGTCCCTCGCATCCCTGTACGAGGTTTGTATATTGCATGCGTATCAATCTTATTACTCATCCTTTATCGTAATGTGACTGTTATTAGATGCATAATACAATTCTTAGAAATTCATTGCTTCACATAAATTATATAGAATAATAAAATAAATATAATTTATGTTCTTACATAATTTTTC